AGAAACTACCAAATCTGTAATTATATTTTAACACTCTTCTAACCAAAATTGATAGTTGCAAAGAATGTAAAAATTAAATTAGTAAGGATATAGAAAATCTGAATAACAAATCAACTAGCAGAATCTAATAAATACCTATTTAGAGCCTCCATCTTTCAAATGGGAAAATACATATTTTTGTTTCAAGTATTCAATGAACATTTATAGAAAGTGACTATGAACTATGTTACAAAAAACAAGTGTTGATAAATTTCAAAGAATCAGTATCATATAGGTGTTCTCTTACTAGAATGCAATTAAATTAGAAATATGCAATAAAAAGAGCAAAATATTTAGAAATATTAAAAATGCGCTCCTAAAAGACTTACAGGTTAAATTAAAAATCATGATGTTGTTGTTGTTGTTATGTGCCATCAAGTCGGACCTGACTCATAGCAACCCCTCCTTTGGTTTCTGAGGCATTATCACTACGGAAGTAGATTGCCCAACCTTCCTTCCGAGGAGTGGCTGGTGGGTTCGAACCGCCAGCCTCTGGTTAACAGTCAGGTGCCTTAGGCACTACACTACTAGAGATTATAAGCTACTGAATTAAATCAAGTGATACATGTCAACACTTTGGGGATATAGTTAGAGTGATACCTAGAAGGAAATTTATAAACCTAAATTTGTTTATTAAAAACAGTGAAAGTTGAAAATAAATGACTGAAGCATCCAATCTGAAAAGCTAAGGGGGAAGAAAGGTAGATTACAAAAGTTTATTAATGGACATAAAGCAAAGCTGGAATAAGTGAATAACTCCACCACATTCCTGGGTGAGAAGATTCAATAACATGAAATCAGCTCTTCCCAATTTAATCTATAAATTCAATGCAATTCAAACCTAACATTTCACAAGGATTTTCCTGAAATATGACAATCTGACACTAAAATCATAGGGAAGAGCAAAGGGCTCAGAGAGCCAAGACAGTTTGGAGGAAGAACAAAGTGGGAATGGGAGGACTTGACATATGTCATTTTATTTAAATCTGGTGTGGCATCGGCACAGGGATATACAAGTAGACCAACAGAACAGAATAGGGAGCTTAGAAGCACACCTGTGTATCTATGGACACTTGATATATTGCAGAGGTACCATTACAAATCAGTGGGGGAAAATGGACTAGCCAATGACTGGTACTAGGGTAATAGGCTATCTGTTGTGGAGGGGAGAGGAGTAAAATTAGATGCTATCTTCACACACACAAAAAAATAGCTTCTGGGTGGATTAAAGTCCTAAAGGTGAAAAACAAATTTTAACCTTTTAAATGTAGGCATAAGGAAGTTTTTCCTAAACAAGACATAAAATGTAGAAAATATGGAAGGCTGTATTGAAATTTGAAATTTTTGTACAAGATACCATGAGCAAGTGAAAGGATGAGCTTTAGTAAAAGAAGAGTAGGAGATAATACTTGCCATGTACGTAAGTGGCAAAGGACAAGTATCCATAATAGATCCAGAATTAAAGAGGACAACCCAGTGGGAACATGAGCAAAAGGAACAGCCTTTTAACTTGTAAGAAGTTCAACTTCATCCATAATTGGGGAAATGCAAAGTAAAATATACCCATCAGATTGGCCAAAATTAATGAGGATGTGGTCAGATGGAAGTTTTCATACACTATTGGTAGGACAGTAAATTGGTAAAACCACTTAGGAGAGCGATTTGGTGGTAGGTAGCAGTGGTGATGATGTTGCCAGGACCCAGTAATTCCCCATCTAGATATATTCTGTAGGGAATATCTTAATCAGGTTTCCAAGGAGACAGAAGTTCATCACATCATTGTATGTAATAGTGAAGCGTTGGAAAAATGAAAATGTCCAGTAACAGAAGAATGTTGTTGGCATATCCAAACATACACCTTACAGAAGTTAAAAACAGGAACTGTTATGTATCGACATGGATAAGTCTTCAGAACAGTGTTGAAGGCAAAAGCAACTCTTAGAATGGTATGTACACTATTAAGCATAAAGTTCTTAAATGTCAAGTTTAAGAACATGCAAAATAATGCTGTTAGAGTTAATCGCCTGAAATGGCCATTTTTGTAGGTAAAAACCAGTCAAATGTCAGCATTTTTATTAAGTTCACCCTAATATTTGTACATACATTCATGGCAATGCTGGGCATAGAATTCAGTGCGGCATTATCTCCTTGGGGTTGATGGTAAAGAGAGAGCTGAATGATATTAAGGAGGGCACATGTTGTTGTTATGTGCCGTCGAGTTGGACTCGACTCATAGTGACCCCTCCTTGGGTTGCCGAGGCAGTATCACTATGGAAGTAGATTGCCCAACCTTCCTTCTGAGGAGTGGCTAATGGGCACTATGCCACCAGAGCTCCTAGGAGGGCACATAGGGGAGCTTTAACTTTTGCTGCCATATTTTATTTTATTTATTGAGAACAATGTCAATGCATGGTGGTAGGTACATGGGTATACTCTTACCATATTCTTATATATTTCTCTTGAAAATATTTGATGGCATTTTTAAGCAAACAAAATGTTTGATAGAGGTACAGTAATTTTAATTCCATGACATTATAAACTAATATTTATCAAATGATTATATTCTTTCCTGCATACTCATCTGAACATAGCACTCATGAGGCTTCTAGTATAATGTAAAAAAAAAGAAAAACATCTCACCTCACATACCAGGCAAACACTTCAAATTTTATTTTGTTCTTTTAGCATCGATAAGATTGTCATCATAAAAATCATTCATTAAGTGCCTCTCTTTTGCTTGCTGTGTGTTTGGTGGTGGTCTGATGCATCTATCTATCTGCCATGTTCTATGAAATCTAATAATGATAATCAAGTTTCTTTCTTTCCTTCTCTCTTTTTTCTTCTTTGATGCCAATGCCAACAGAAATCTGCAAGCAGAATATGATCGTCTGAAGCAGCAGCATGAACATAAAGGCCTGTCCCCACTGCCGTCCCCTCCTGAAATGATGCCCACCTCTCCCCAGAGCCCCCGGGATGCTGAGCTCATTGCTGAGGCCAAGCTTCTGCGTCAACACAAAGGCCGCCTGGAAGCCAGGATGCAAATCCTGGAGGACCACAATAAGCAGCTGGAGTCACAGCTACACAGGCTAAGACAGCTGCTGGAACAAGTGAGGCCCCCATCTCTTGAACACAGGACATTTACGAACACTCATTCCCCTCCCATAACCAAAACAAAAAGATAGAACTCTGAGTCCTTTGAATGACCATCAATTTGTTGAGTATTTGATGTGTACTTAGCAAAGTACTCAGTATCAAGGGATAGAAAAAAGAAGACAAAAGTTAACATACCTTTTTATATTTGTTCAAGACTGTTTCCTACCAACATGTTTTTTGTTTGACCAATTTGAAATACATATTGGAAACAAATGCCAAAAAAGTGTCCACTAGTTCTTTAAAAGTGAAAATTTTACCTCTTGAAATAAAAGTCTCTTCTTTGTAATTAGTTTTACTTTCTAATATACCTTGGATTTTTTTTTTTATTTTCTCCAGTCCATAAGACATGATTTTTTTAAAACTTCCATTGAAAACCTAACAAGATATTGCCATACCTGGACATGACCCCTGCTTTCTGGAAAATTTTAATTTTGAGTTATAGTCTCATATTGTTACTTCACAAAAATGTGACTCCTCCATTATATCTTTGTGTTCACCATTCTCACATTACCTTCTAACTCTTTCCATTATGTAGTCTAATGATACCTTGTTCCACTAATATTTTTTCAGACTTACAGCAGGGAGGCACAATTCAACAAAGACAATATCCTATATTTTATCAACAGTGAAATTCCCAAATTCACCAATTTTTGAGAGGTTTCTCATTAGGAAGGGTCAAAATCTGTGGAGTCATGAGTGCCTGTCATCATTTTATATGTATATATGTGTTTGAGTATTTATTATGAAAAATAATGCTGTTTTCTTTTGGATGCCTTAGCCCCAAGCAGAGGCCAAGGTGAATGGTACAACGGTGTCTTCTCCTTCTACCTCTTTACAGAGGTCAGACAGCAGTCAGCCTATGCTGCTCCGGGTGGTTGGCAGTCAAACTTCAGAATCCATGGGTAAGTGCCTTAGCTAACCCCAGATTTTGATGTTTCATTAATGGTGAAATGTTTGCTCAGAGGTCCACGTCATCAGCTAAATTGTCTAATACCAGTTGTGGACAAGGCAATGTCATAAATGCCTTGTTGTTGTTATGTGCTGTCGAGTCGGCCCTGACTCATAGCGACCCCTCCTTGGGTTGCCGAGGCAATATCACTACGGAAGTAGATTGCCCAACCTTCCTTCTGAGGAGTTGCTGGTGGGTTTGAACCATCAGCCTTCTGGTTAGCAGTCAAGTGCCTTAGGCACTATGCCACCAGAGCTCCTATAAATGCCTTAGGGGATATAAAGGTAAGTGGCATAGTACTACCCTTCAAAGAGCTGGTCATTCAGTTATTTAGAATAAGGCAGAGTGGTGTGAACCTTTTATTCCTTTTAAAGATCAGAGAAGGCTTTATGATGAATTGTTATTTGTGAATGGTTCCAAAGGATGGAGTAGGGATCAAGCACACCTTGAAGAAGGACTAGCACATGCAAAGGTATAGAGATGAGGAGCTCAGGCCAAGGGTGGGAAACAGCTCAGAGTCTAGTTTGTTAGAAAGAGAAGGTCTAAGCAGGAGATAGAGGGAAATACGATTGCAGAGGAAGGTCTGAGTCACATTATCATGACATGAATGTTGGAGACTCGTTTTGGTAGGTGTTAGGGAGCCATTGAAAATCATATACCAGGTAATAAATAATAAAACAAGACAAAAAAACTTTCCGAAAAGATGTATTCCAGCATCTGTGCCTGGCCCGAAGTAGAACTTTTATACATGGAAACACCTGTTGGAAACTAGTCCTGCAAAAGTTAAGGTATGTGAGTTCTGAGGGTCCAGGCTTTAAGTTATGAGTCATAGGATGGGAGGAGATAGGTGTGAGACCATTATATCAGTATAGAATGCCCAGGACTTGGATGAGGACTAACTAGATGATGTGAGGAAAGGAAATGAGAGGAGAGGATTTAGTTGGAAGTAAGTAATGATAACAGTGGCTGACGTGTTGTATTGTGTTTGAAAAACTGGTAGATTTTTAAGTCATGTCCAGCAGGACAATAAAATACAGGTCTGTCACTGGTATAAGAGGACAAGCTGGAGAGGTTTGAGAGTGAGTTCTATGGAACCAATACCTGAAGAAGATGAGAAATAATATAACCAAGATATTTGGATAGAGTACCTTAGGGAACACCTCCATGTGGGTGATGGTGTAATAAAGGAAATGGGGAGTAGGAACAAGTGGTCCAAAGGTCATATGCTGAAGACAGTCAATGAAAATGAAAATAAATTACAACTCATTGGATTACTGTAAAGTCTCTCATTGGCCACTTGGACAATTGCTGTCTTTTCAGTAAAAGAAAGAAAGAAAAAGAAAAGAAACCCACTGCCATAGAGTCAATTCCAACTCATAATGACTCTATAGCAACTCTATAGGACAGAGTAGAACTGTCCCCATAGGGTTCTCAAGGATGTACGTTTTTACTGAAGCAGACTGCCTCGTGTTTCTTCTTATGAACTGCTGTTGGGTTCAAATCGGTGACCTTTTGGTTAGCAGCCATATGTCTTAACCACTGTGCCATCAAAAAACCCACCAAACCCACTGCTACTGAGTTGATCCTGACTCACAACGACCCCATTTGGGTTTCCGAGGCAGTATATCTTTATGGAAGTAGATTGCCCAGTCTTGTTTCCGTGGAGTGACTGGTGGGTTTGAACTGCCAACCCTCTGGTTAGCAGCCAGATACCTTAGTCACTGTGCTACTAGAGCTCCTTAAAATAAAAGACCGGGTAATTGTAAAGACTAGGTAATTTTAAAAATGAGTGACTCTTGAGGCACGAGAGGACACTTTTGGAACATTACCAAGTTAACAATGAGAGCCTTCATAAAAGTTACATGAACTTGTATGAAGAAATTGTCAACATGGTTTGATGTAATTTTTAGCGGTGTTCTTGGCTTAGGACTTGCTTCTAAGAAAGCTGGGATTGTTGAGGCATAAATGTTAAAGAAGGCCAAAATGAGTAAGGCATTATACAGTGGTAATGAGTACGGTGTTACAATGGCCATGGAAGGGGTTGCTCGTTGGTTTTTCCTGATGTGCCAGGCTAGATAATAGGAGGCTTTACAAAGGCCCATGGATACCTGGTTCATCTTCCTCATTTCACCTTCTCTCTTCAAGCCCAATGTGCATCAGCTCCATGCTCTATGCTTCCTTTTCCCTAGGTCCTAAACTGGTTATATTTGTTGATCTTATCTCACAAAGAAACAATAAAACACAGGAAGGAAGAGACCTGTGATTACTTGATTCCTCACACTTAAAGCTCTGTTGCCTGGTACCATGGTGTGTTGAGGAATTCATGAAGGTAGAATAAATAGAAGCAAACTGCCTAACCAGAATTGATGGAACAAAAGGGAAGGTTCATGGGTGGGAGTGAGTTGTGTGATAGGAGATTAGGAGACTATGATCAGGAAAATTCGAGTTGGATGTCACAGAAGTAAAACATTTTCAAGTGATGCCTATAACTAAGGTATAGTCTACCAGTAAGCTGTTGAAGATTGTACATGGAGATCATTGAGGGTGAGGGACATTGTTCACGGGGTTGATAAGACTAGGGTTGTTGGTATTGTCAGTGGGATAGTGAGGTCCTTATGGTAGTAATGATGGCATGCCAGGTGGGGATGGGTAAAGATGCTGAGGCAGCTGGGTGAAGGTTCTGAGGAGGTGAATATTTCTGAGGAGAAAGAAAGTGACTGAAACAGATGTGATGAACTTGAAGAACCCAGAGCAATGGGTAAAAGTCACATCCTCCTCTAGAGAAGTCACACCTTATAGAAAAGCCAGTTTGCAATTATTTTGAGAAGGAAGAGGAAATGTCTGAGGTTGTTTTCCTGGTTTCACCACAACTCGTTGATTTAAGGCAATCTCCACATTAAATTCTCTTTTTCCATGTGAGATGGGAATATACCTAACGGGCTGTCGGGACTGTCAATGATAGTGCAGTGTGTAAAAAAATATCAGATGCCTTTGAGAAGTCTATAAATTCTGAAATAACAGCATTAGTGCCTCTGTTGTTATTTCCTACTTCAGGATTCTCTCTCTCTCTTTTTTGAAGTAAGTAAAGCAAGCATGTGAAACTAAGTTGCATATTTTAGCATGAGATTCAGAGCCCTGGGTGTTTAGAGGCATTAATTATTTAGGCCTGTCAACACTGGTGAAGAGGCAGCATGCCTATTAAAGCACCCAAATTAAAGTACACATCAGGCTGTGGTCCTGATGATTTGTGGAGCCAGAAAATCGTGGCAGAACCGAGTGCAAGAAAAGAAGTGCTTCAATTCCAATGACTGAGTTAAGCTAAGAGATAACTTGCCAATATGAAATGGGTAGGCTATGTTGTTAAGTTTGTTCTCTGATAGAAAAGACTGAATTCAAGGGTAATTTTTTTCCTTTATTTTTTTCCCCACCTGTATAAGCCTTCTTCATTTAAGAAAAACCTTACCATCTTCTTGAAGGATGCACACAGGTGTTTAACTAAATGCAATGTATGTGTTCATGCTTTGAAGGCTTGAGGAATGACAAGGCTGAGATTTGCTGAACTATATTCTGAATAGAGATTTATTTCTTTAAATATATAACCTCAGTGCTTTTTTTTTTTTTTTTTTTTAAATTGAAATACGGGTGAAGTCTTACTTGATGATCTGGCTAAAGGGTCATAGTACTTCCTCCCTCCATGATACACTTATTGCCACTAAGTCTCTGTGTACCATATGTGTGTTATATACATTTTTCCCCCCACTGGGACAGTGCCCTCATGAAGCAAACATTCTATTGGAGGAGACAGACAATAAACAAATAAGTTTCTTATTGAAATTTACCTCCTTTTGGCTTTTATGAGTTACACACCCAGGAGTCTACAATTTCCTTACAACTCCTTATCTTTAATCACTCCTCAACTTCTATGCAAAACAAAACAAAAAACAAACCTATTGCCATCAAGTTGATTCTGAATCATAGCGACCCTATGACCCTGTAGAACAGGGTAGAACTGCCCCATAGGGTTTTCAAGCTCTGGTGGTGTAGTGCCTAAGGCATTTGACTGCTAACCAGAAGGCTGGTGGTCCAAAACCACCAGCCACTCTTCAGAAGAAAGATTGGGCAATCTACTTCCATAGTGATACCACCTCAGAAACCCAAGGAGGGGTCGCTATCTATGAGTAGTCAGCTCCGACTTGATGGCAGTGAGTTTGTTTTTTTGGGAATCTTTACAGAAGCAGACTGCCATGTCGTCCTCCCACAGAGCGGCTGGTAGGTTCCAACCACCGACCTTTCAGTTAGCAGCCAAGCACTTTAACCACTGTGCAACCAGGACTCCACCTTCTACCCAATCACCTTTTTTTGTAAAGCAGTTTATATTTTATTCTATTTACTTACCTTGTTTAAAAATGTTAAAATGTTCCCTAGCTTTTTGTTGTTGTTCCCTAGCTTTTTATTTAGAATAATATCAACGGTATAGGAACACTGTAGGAGCTCTGGTAGCATAGTGGCTAAGACACTTGACTGCTAACCAGAAGGCTGGCGGTTCAAACCCACTAGCCACTCCTCGGAAAGAAGATGGGGCAATCTACTTCCGTAGTGATACTGCCTTGGAAACCCAAGGAGGGGTCGCTATGAGTTGGGTCTGACTTGACGGCACATAACAACAACAACAACAACAGGAACACTGTAATTAATTCACCAATTAACATTTTTACCACATTTGTTTTATGCTATTTATTTATGTACCTTTATGTATAGCAAATATGTAGCATATATTTATTTATATTAACACCTATTTATGTCTATGTGTTAATCTATCTTTATGCACACTGTGTTTATCTATGTACATATTAATAATATTTATGTGTGTGTCTAGTTTTTTTGTTGATTTATTGGTTATTCTTTTTGTTCCACTGACTCCCTTCGTGGTTATGTTTCTGACATAAAGCCACT